ACGGGGTTTGATAGATTTTATCGTTGCCCTTTTGTTTAAACAAAGAAATTGCGAGCTCGTTTCGTGCTCTTTCCTTGGTGAAGAGTTGCGGTTTGGTTTTCAATTTTGTTAAGTACTATAGCGTTTGCGTGAGCATTGGCTATAGGAGTAGTCGCTGCTGGAGTTTTTTTACCAGCGTTTTTGCGAGGTGCGAGTTTGTCTTTCATATTTCCAGACATCGTTTTGATCAAGCGTTTTGCGGCTATGAGTAAAAGTAATCCGACCCCCCCCCTCCTTCTAGCACCAAACTGTGGGAACCGAAATTCACACCGTCGATTTCCGTAAAATAAGGAAACTTAGGAACACCCTAATTCTCCAGAGGACCCGGATCTCTGCGGAAGCCAACGACAAGTAACCAAATAAATGCGGAATATATGAAGAACATGATAAAACGATTTTATAAAGAGAGTTGATTTTATTTCGAATTTGCGTGAGAGCGTTGCGAACAAGAGATTACAAAGGCTTTGGCCGCAGGGGCTATCAGCGAGTTATCAACATAAAACCCTAAACCTAGTCGAGTTGCAGCTCGATAAAAAAGACGAAAAAAAGATAAGAAAAAGAGGGTTTGATTGATTTCAGACTGAACCTTATGAAAGGCTGCCTACGTACCCCTTTCGAGGACCAAGTCGAACGTAGTTCAATTGGTAGAGCTGGACAAGAGATCGAACTGCCTAGGCGAGTTCGTCTCGTGATTGAGTGCCAGTCATAGAAACCGAACTTGTCGAGAAATAAGCCTATGTTTCTAAGTGCATAAAGTTCTAAGTCTAAAAGAGTTGTGAAAATCGTCCCTTTCTTCTGTCGTCTGCCTCTTGCTTATATAATCCCTTCCTAGGCAGTTTAGTCCTTCCATTCCGCCCAGATTCGAGTTTATCGAGAATCTTCCATTTATCCTTATCTTTCCTTTTTTCCCGCGGAAATCTTCTATTTATCCTCAAACTTGACATTTGTCTTCAAATTTGACGTTTATCTTCTTTCTGCGAGTAAATCATTAAAACGTTATCGTACCTTTGGGCCAGACTTCGTTAAAATCGCGAGATAGGCTTTATCACGTTTTAGGACTTTTCGAGCCGTTTTGCGATAAAACCGGTTTACGACTTTATACGAGATCGTTTCCTGATGCGATGCCGTTTTATATAAGTTTCTCGAGTTAATCTCAAAGTTTGGCAATGTTCGACGTTTCGGTTAATCGTTGCCGTTTTCTACGATTTACTTGAGGTTTTATTAAAAACGCATTTTTTACGATTTCTCACAAAAAATCTCGAGTAAATCGTATAGTTAGGCAATGTTCGGTGTTTCATTTAACCGTTGCCGTTTTATACTATTTCCTTGAGTTCTTTCAAGAAAACAAGACTTAACGATTTTTATCATTAAACTTGAACGATAGGACGGATCGAGACGAAACGAGAGACGTTTTAACCGTGGTTCAGAACACGATCGAGCCGAAGGACATATGCCTTGAGTCAAGGATGTGGGAGGTCGAGGCTCGGGACAGTCAGCTCGACGTACGGCGAGCCGAACCGGGTTGGTTCAGCTCGCCGTACGGCGAGCTGTTCGTGAAGTGACTAGCTCGCCGAACGGCGAGCTGGTCCGGGACCGACAGTTCGCCGTATGGCGAGCTGAACCGGTTGGTTCGGCTCGTTGTACGTTGAACTTGGTTTGGTTGAACTTGGTTCGGTCGAACCTGCTCGCGGTTTACGACGGATGCGGTTTTTCGCGGTTTTGTGCTTAACTCAGACAATCGTGTAATCGGCTTTTGTTCAGAAAGTCCTTAGAATTTTATAAAACAACTTCTCGTGTTTTATAAAACGTAATTTTATTTTTGCAGAGACTTTTATCCATTGATTCCGTCGTGGCCGATTTTGACACCAACACTCCAAAAGACACCAAAATCACCATATTTCTCCAAAACATACCTGAACCTGTAAATACTATAAAAATATTCCAAAACATAATAAATATATCTTAAAACACTTATATATCATGGGTAATATTGGTAAAATCTATGGTATATCAATATGTCGATCGATTTGCCTTTCTCATGGTTACGCTTCTCTTCGCGGAACATATCCAAATCCTGCTCTATCAACTCAATCCTCGTGCTTAACCAGTTGATGTTGTTGTTGAGAGGGTGGTAGTTTTCATCAATCCTTGCGTCGAGATATGCCTCGTCCCATTTAGTTATATGTCCTGTCAACATCCCTTCTTTTACTGGTTCTTCATTCCTGTTGATTGATGCGTCATTAGTGGCATCGTTCGAAGTTGCACGCTGTGTCTTCATAATATCAAATTTGGCTTCCATTTCTTTCATGTGCATAGTCAATCCACTGATGCTTCCTTTCAGAATCACATAGACCATATTTAGATTGTTGTTGAGCTTACCCACGGCTTTTTCCTGGCAATCATTCATGCAACCAATCATCTCGTTGATTTTGTCTTTGATGTAGAGATTTGGCTCCAATATCGACCCATAAGTTGTGTTTCTGTCGATCGTTACACGTCTCTTTCTATTGATCGATGGACGAGGATCCTTGTCGATCGATGATGCTTTGATTGTGTTGGTCGACAGTTGCTGCATCACGCCTAGTTGTTGCTGAAAGAGATTTTCTGGTCCATTAGCCATCTAAAGGATTTTTGTTATGTCTTCTTTGGACACTTGTAAAATCCTCCCATCTATTGCTCGTGCGTGACCTTTTGGATCCCTTATAACACCAAAATCATCTGATTTTAGAAAATCATCAATGTAATAATCTCTAGTTAAAGAAAAAGTTTTCGGGTTAGAATCGATCGATGTGCTTAGTTGATGCGGCCATCAAACCAGTAGCTGAACCGGAGGTCCATCCAACACCCCACTCACCCAACCAAAGCGTCAAGCAGAACATATGTGCACTAAAAATGTCATATCTCTTAAACCAGGAGGGTTTAAATCATGGAACCAATTTTCATGGATTCTACACTCAAGAAGAAGTCCAGCCCAGTTTTAATTTCGAAGAAATCTTCACGGACCAAGGAGTTATGAGTTTTAGAAATTGGAGGTTTCCCATCCCACCCGATTGCGAGTATCCGTGTTTAGAAGAGGAGTTAAGCCCAACCAAGAAGCGGATCATGCCATGGCCAATTATGGAGTTCAAGAGGGGTCTTTTGTGGATCCAGGAAGCCCAAAATAAAAAGAAAAGAACGAGCCAAACCAAAGTTATAACCAGTTTCCAAAAACCGGTTATTAGGAGCCGATTATGGAAAGATTGTTTGATCCTTTGGTCCAACCCATTTCAAACCGAGATCAGGCAACCAGGATACAATCCAGACTAACCAAGACTTCCAGAAGACCAACCCATCCAATCAGGAGTGACCCCATTCACCTTAACATACACCAGCAAGCATGGGAACAAGAAGATCTGCATTTACAGCTACTTGCCTTTTCCGAAATTATTCTTTCTTGCAAGAATAAATGACCAACGGCTCTTTCCCTTTGAAGCAGAAGATTTGAAGAACAAAGTGAGTATATTCAGCCATCAGAGACTTCTATTTCGTGGATACTAAACCAAGATATCAAGGTATAAGATCAGATCTTCTCAAAGGCTACAAATCTGCTCCAAAGCTAGTTTAATGGAGACAAGACCCATTGCATTTATTTTTCAGTATTTTCTTTCCATCTTAGAGTATCAGAACGTTGGGAATTGTCCCTGGTCGTGAATTATATAAGCAGACCTCATACCTCATTGTAAAAACACCCTTGATCATTTTGAAAGTTATTGAAACAGTTTTTCTTTAAACAAAGTTGTGTTTTCTTTGTTGTTCTTTCTCTAGTTCTTAGTGTGAGATTCACTAAGTCCTAAAGAAGCCACGTCCAGAGAACCTTGTGAGACTCAAGACCATCTGTTCGTCCATTGATTGAGAGAGTCAATCCCTATCCAGCAATCCCCATCTTTCTATCCTTTTGTTTACTGTTTTTCTTTTTGTTTTTGTTTAGTTCTTCATTTGTTTTCTCATATATCTAAAAACCATAAAAATATTGTGCTTTCTGTTGTTCATCATTTTCTTATTGTTTATCTTCTGTTTGCTTTATTAAAATCAAGAAAAACCATAAAAAGTTTCACTCTTTTTGCACTACAAGGGAAGGGGGTAAAGATAGCATAAAAAGATAGCATTTTGGTCGAAAATGCTATCTTTGATATAACTCTTTTTTTAAGATAGCGTTTTATAATGTACATACTATGTCTTATTTTTTAAAACGCTATCTTTTGTTTAGACATAAAATAATTTCATTTTCCCGCTAAGTATTTAGTGAAAAAAAGAAGCGGCCGAAATAATTTCGTTTACCCACTCAGTTTAGCTAAAGTATAAAAAAAAATAAAGAGAAAAACAAATATTTTCACGTTTTCTTTCTTTCTCCCTTTTTCCCCTCTCATCTCAACTCTTCCTCAGATCCTCTCCATTTTTTTTTCTGAAACACGACAGAGAGATGAGAGATGAGACATAGAGAGAGAGAGAGAGGGATTGAGATTGCAGGAGGTAAAGGAAGTGACCGGTCTGAAGGAAACCTCCCGGTCTCCGGCCAATACTCCCGACGCGACTTCGTTCTCGCTCCGAGTTCATTAGCAGATCTAAAGTTTCCAGATTGTAATGATATCTGATCTGATTTGTTCTAAGTTCTCAGTCTTTTAGAGTTCTTCTGTTTTATTCCAGTTGTCAGCTTTAAGGCGTGAGAGGACAATGGCAGAACGACGAACCCAACAGTTACCTCTCTCTCCTTTGCAGCCGTATCCGAACCCAACAGTTACCTCTCTCTCAATCTCTTCTCATGTTTGCTCCTCAGGTGCTCTCTTTCTCTCCAGATTCACTTTTCCTAAACAACAGATCTGAAAAAAATAAAGTTCTTAAAGTTCGTATCTTTATGTAGGTTCTGGTGATTCTTCTTCAAAGACAAGATGATATCCACATCCCAATTCCATCTTTAATAAAATCTCCTTCCGACTAAGAGGCTTGTAACGAGCAAAGGATCCCCACGATGATCACTTGGTGCCATAGAGAGGACTTCGCTCAGAGATGGGAAGAAGAGGAGACGACAGAAGAAGAGGAGACGGCTGATGAAGAAGACTCGACGTCATGAATAGGCGGAGGTGATACCTGAATCTCTTTTGTATTTGTTTCTTTCGGATTTCGATTGATGTATTTGCCTTGTTGCAGATCCTTAAATTAGGAAGAAGAAGGAGATCTGGTGTGGAGATAGAAGAAAAATAATCTGGTCAAAGACATATCTTGATAAGGTAAAATGATAAGATAATATGAGCAAAAACAAATGCTTTGTTGTGTTTAGCTTCGTGTGATTCTTGTTTTTCTTTCTATGAATTATATAGTACGTGAGCCAGAGTATGAGATTGGATTTCCAAGAGTACTAGAGCTTGTTAAGGAGGTGAGGAATCACTAAAATTGTATGAGAATTATAGTTTTGGCTCTGGTGATTATGATTTGTTGTGCATCTCAGTGTAAAAACAGAGGCTGCTGGTCAAAGTTGATGCAAACGTTGCAACTGCTCGTTTGTCTTTTTATTTGGGTTTGGGAACTTGAGTTGGAAACCAGATTTTCTATGTTAGCGTAATGTCCTAATTCCAATATTTGTTGGCTTGCTTAATCTTGGGCGATCATGCTTAACTCGTTGAAATGATCAAATATTTTTTAGCTTTTGTATAAATAAAATTGCTTTAAGTTAATTGGCTTTCTTTTTTGTTGCTAGCAGATTGGTTTGGATGATGTATGTATGCTTGATCCAAATACTAGCTGAACTTTTGAGAATATATCCTTTGAGAACATCACAAGATGCGAAGGTGGACAAGGCAGAGAAGCTTAATGGAGGAAGAAGTAGCAAAAGTGGTGGGTCGTTAGCAGAGGGGACACTAGGTTTAGAGTGGAGAAGGTCCAAGCTCTGGTGTGTGACTGGAAGATGGAGACAACGTTGGAGTTCTCACGGTGTTGGTCGTGGTGTGGTGCAGAGCTAATTTATAGAACTTTATGTTTAGAATTTTAGGTGTAGGTTTAATATTTTTAGGTTTATATTGGTTTCCTTTGATTACCGGTCATAAATATGTAGCCATTTTCGATTATATATAAAAAATATAATATTTTATTTGTATTTTTATTTGTATTTTTATTTTTTAATAATTCTATAATAGCAATTATTATTTGCTATTATAAATTATACAACTGCACAACTAATAAAACGCTATCAAACTAATAATTTAACAGAGCATATACAAAACGCAATGTAAAATACCCGAGAAAAGATTGCGGGGGCAGACACAGCGTTCACCATAACGCTATGCTATCCTGTAATAGCGTTTTCCGCATGCTATATATGTGACATTTTCTTGTAGTGTTGTTTCAGGTACAACAGCCTTTCACCCCACCCTCACAGCCCCATTACTAGCCATCTATGTCCCTGTTCTTGTTCATATCCGACCCTCAAGATCACCATCAGTATACTCTGAAATCTCAGGCTGTATCACTGGTGCAGCATCGATTGATGGTAGATGAGAGGTGATGATCTTTGGCTTGTTGAATGTTGCACTTGTTGCTTGCCATGATGATCTCTGTAGTTGGTTCCTCTCTTTCTTTGTCTCCCAAAGGTTGTAAGTGCTTGCATCTTGTCTGATTCTATGGTATTAGACGTCATCTTGGTTGCAAGACCTCTTTTATACCCATCAGGTGCCCTAGGAAGACTTTGAAAATTACCAAATTTCCTGAAGTCGGTGGCCTCAAAATTGATCGATGTGCGTGTGTGTGTGTGTGTGTCTGTTGATTATTGATGTCGGTGTGCCTGATGAGGTTGAGTATCGATCGGTTCCGGTAAAACCGTGTCGATCTATTTCGTGAGCTTCGTCTTGTTGATGGATTGTAGGAGTCTATCTTCTGTAAGAATGGCACCGATTTTTCTAGCATACTCCTCATCATAATCTTCATCATGCTCCTCTTTGTGATCTTCTGAATCTGATATGATTGCAGTGTCTATTGCAAAACTCTCATGGAAACCACTGTCTGCCCAACTGCCTAAGGAGTAGTCATCTTGCTTGTTGCTGGTGGCTTGAAAGGCAAAATCGGGAAGGGTTCAATGCGTGGACTGTCTGTTGATCGATGTGTCTTGTTGTACATCGATCGTCGGCTAGTTGATGGAATCAGTCGATGACACTGAGTGTGTATCGATCGATTCTGAATACTCGGTTTCATACTCTGCTTCACAATGGCATGCAGCGATGAATCCAACATCTCTAGTCTCTAATAAGTGTACCTGTTGCTTAACAACACGAACAGGATCATAAAAAATATTTGGATCAACTAAAGTAAGACAAAACTTGTTAGTATTCATGTCACAAATTACTCCTACTGTGGCCACGAAAACTTTTCTAAGTAAGAGTGAAAAATTCCAGTTCAGCTTGATATCCAGGACATCAAAATCTACAGGAATGAGTACATTATCAATCTGCACCTCCAGGTCTCTGATTATACCTCCAGATTTCCTCTCAGAACAATCCACAAAAGTGAATGATTCCTGTGAAGGTTCTACCTTCAGACCCAGATGGTCTTCCATGACCTTTGGTATGATAATGATTGATGCTCCTGTGTCACATTGTGAAGGTTCTACCTTCAGACCCAGATGTTCTACCTTCATCCTTTCCCTGACATGATGAAACATTCTCCTAATATCCTCCTTAGTATCCCTAGTTTCTTTGAAGTACATCCACAGTATGTGGGTAAAGTAAACCTCCTCAAAAGGTTTGTCCAGTGGAATCCTGAGGACTCTCTTAGTGAAACCATCCATCTCCTTCTCATTAGGTTCCCTCTTGAGATGTTTAGGAACCTTATCCTTTCTTTTCCTTAGGGTTCTTCCAATAGTGGTCTTATCAATGTCCATAGGCTCTGATGTTAGGTTGGAGGGGTTGGTTGATGGCGATCTGAGTGCGTTGATTTGTCATATGTCGATTGGGGGCAATCTCACTCGGCATGTGAGAGAGGTGCATCAATCGATGGGGTTCATGTCCTATCGATCGATGGCATGTTCTCTCTGTCGATCGACGACTGGCTCATTATGTTGATCGGTGTTGGAGTAGAAAAAGCTGGGTAGATGCGGGTGTCTTTCCGCAAACTCCTCGTGGTCAAGATCTGGACTGCATTCCACGATTCAGTCGACTCGGTTGATGCCAATCGGTCTGCATGATCTCATGTCGATCGATCAGTGTCGAATATAATCGATGGATGTGCACTAGTTGGCATCGATCGATATGAAGGCAATTCGTCGGAGTCGAACAAATTTTCCTTGTCCAAATCGTCCTCTTTCATCTTCACATGTCGAATTTCTTTCCATAAATCATCATCTAGAATGGCCTTGACATGGTATTTCATTGCTTCATCCCCTTCTTGCTTCCTAAGAGCTTCTCCAGTCTGAACCACCTGAGTCTCAAGCTTCCTTACATGAGTTCCCAAAGAATCAATCTTGGTGTTCAGATCATTGTAGATGGAATCAATCTTCCCATTGAGATCCACTGTTAGCCTTTGTTGTTCTTCAAGAACCTAATCAAGCATAGCTTCAACCTTGCTCTCTTGAGTTTGTGGTGGTTGATTCTGGTAGAATGAGTTTCCATGACCCTTGTTGTTGATGTAGCTGCTACTTTAAGGTTTCTGATATTGTGAATTTTGGTTGAAGTTACTCCTCTGACCATTACCACTGAAGTTTTTGTTTCCATACTGATTTCCAGACCTCTGAGATCCAGTTCCTCCAATGTAATTCACATCTGCTAACTCTGAATCTATATCCTCTGCATCTTCATCTGAGCAAATGTGTCTCATAAGTAGCTGGTTGACACTGTCCAACTTAGCTTTTACTTCATCCATTTGTTACGTCCCAAGGAATGCTACAGATTTCCTCCTTTCAGAATCAGTGTTCTTAGTGCTGCTGTTGTTTGCTAAATTATCAATAAGCCTCACAGCTTCTTCTAAATTTCTGGTGTTGAAACTCCAATCACTTGATGTGAGCCATCTGATACTTCAAAGAGACTCCTCTAAATAATATGCTAAGTAGCTGCACCTCATTGAATCCATGGTGTGGGCAGTCGCGTTGGAAGAACTTAAATCTAATCCAAGAGTCTTTAAAAGACTCTCCAGATTTATGTGTAAAGGTGGCAATCTTGCTCCTCGGTTCTTCATCTTGTGCCTCATCAAAGAAATTGCACAGGAACACATTCTTGATGTCAGTCCAGGATGTAAGAGATCCTGGTGGTAGCTGCTTGAGCCAATGTGCAACATCTCCAGGTAGTGAATACTTGAAGAGCTTGCACAGTAGGTAGTCCTCACGGACTCCTTTAACTCTAATAGCAGCAATGAGATCCTCGAACCTCTCAAGATGGTCCATAAGATGCTTATGTGGCCACCCGCAGTAGGGTATTTGTGCCACAAGTGTGTAGTATTGTGGCTTTAACTCGAATTTTTCCCTTTGGACGTCTGGAAGACGAATAGCTGACCTATTGGCATAGTACTGCTCTGGACGGTTGTAGTCTTCCAAGGTCTTCGGTCTAGTGGCCTCATCAGTATCTGTTTCATGGATTACATTCCCCTGAGTATATATTTTCTGACCTGTTGCATTACGCAGATGACCTTCCTGGTCAAAAATGTCTCCATTCTCGTTCACAGTTAGTATCAGAGTCGTAACCATGTCTCGCGGCTGAGTATCGATCGATGTACAATGTGTGATGTCGATTGACGTCGGGTGATGAGAATCGGTTGACAAAGAGTTATCGATGCCGATCAATGTGAGAGCGAGGTCGGTTGTCGTCTGAAGAGAATCGATCGATACGCGAGTGTTGCTATCGATCGATGTGGAGCGTAGGTCTTTACGGATCGAACGTTCCAAGCTTGCTGGGTCTTCTAAAAATAGCAGTTATTTTTCTTTGTTGCTTCTGGTAATGATATGCATGCACCTGAAAAGTCAAGAAAAACAATTATTAGAAGATGATAAAGAAAAAGAAAAACCTAGAAATATTAGACTAAATCTAATGTCGATCAAAGCTCCCCGGCAACGGCGCCAAATTTGATACGTGCTCAAATTAACCTATGGAGCAACTTACTCTCTCAAATAAGAGATCTATTGCAGTACTTAGGGATTGAATTCACAAGGAGCTAAGGAACCACTTAAATCTAATCAAGCAATAAAACTAGGTGAATTTAATAGTAAAATCGTAGTAAACAAGTAGACAGAAAATATGAAATATTCTAATTGAGAAAGACACTTACTCGACAAGAATGGAATAAGGATTTTGAACTTAAATGGTAAGGTGTTAGACTTAGGGTTTTTATTCAGGTGTTAGAAATTATAATCATTTAGGTGCTAATTTGTTGTTTGCATGGTATTAAAGAGTTTAATTATTTTAATAACAGATTTACTAAACATTCACTTAATAAATAAGTCTAATGACTAGAGAGTTATCGACCCGAACAAGAATGTCCGATCAAAAATAGGTTCAATCGATTATTCTAGGATACACTTTACTCGACGTCAATCGATTTCCAATGGAAATATTGATCGATGCGGCTAGTCAAGCTTTACACGTGAGTTAATCTACACTCACTATGGATTTCCTATATCAAGCGATTGCCTTCTCTCTAGTAAAAGTCCTAGCTTAATCAGAATGTATTCAAGATTATCAGAGTTATCTAAGGATGCTTACACAACCTAACAATCCTAGATTCAGGCTTCTAGTTAGCAAGTCTAGAACATAAGCATTAAGAAAATCCTATTAATGAATACCACAACAAGTGTTGGGGTCAAAATCGGTACGACGGAATCAATAGCCAAAATTCCCCGCAAACGCGTAAACGCAACAGTTTTATGAATCTCGAGAATCATTTTATAAAACTAGAGAATCATTTTATAAGACTCGAGTGATCGTTTTATAAAACTCGAGAGATCGTTTTATAAAACTCAAGAGATCGTTTTATAAAACTCGAGAGA